CGCGATAAATCGTGGTGGTGAGAGTCCCTGGATCTCGAAGTCCTAGCTGTCAGGTAGTTTGGTGTAGGATGTGATCATCCCCTAGTTCCAGCTCGAGGTAAGTCGGTCCAGTAGTAGAAACCAGGCTAAAGGCAAAATGATACAAAATTGGATAAGTATCCAGGCGAATATCCATAAGCTGATAAGTCCCGTTCCAACAGCAACGAATTCAGATCGATGTATGGAAGGTGACATAGCTCGTGCATATACATCCAAATGGTGGATGTGATTATAAGTCTTGTCATTGTCGGCGGGAGCATATGTTGCATCGCGACAATGTTAGACCACTCAAACATTTTAATTAATGAAATATGGGACATGGTATCAATAACAATCATTATATCTACAGGTACATAGTGTCCGTATTGTCATCTCGTTAAAAGAGACATGGGCGAGTTGGAACAACAACCTACCATCCCCATGATGGGATGGCGGCATGTCGAAACCCACAGCAAAAACAATAATATAATCCATAATATCAATATAAAGTGAATATAGGCATTATTAGAATAGGGTCAAACACGATCGAATATTTGAGACATAGCGAATGAACAATACAAGTGCAATACCAAAATCATGGTTGCGTACTTACTAGTACTCTAGGTAGCAGTTGAAGTTAAGTATCACGCCAGTGAAGTGCTAAGTCTAGTCACTTCAAGCGTCCACAATCAAGTGATCAGATCTTAAAGTCATGTACTTGCTAATATCCTAGGATGCAGTTATGTATCATGCTGACGAAGTTCTGAGTGCAGATCCTTCCAGCATTCACCGTCAGGTGATCAGATCATAAAAGGCAGAATCTTGCTTGTCCAGGCTATTTATTCGAGTTCGATGACGATTAGCTGATGGTTCAATTGGGTGATTCACATGAGGGGTCAATTTTCTATCCAATGAAAATCACTTTCACTGTTGCGGGTTTGACCTTCAACCCTCAAGGTTAATCGGACTGAGGTGACCATCCTTTTTCAGGCTTTGGCGTGAGTTCTCTGTCTAGACAATGCATTTCCAGCAAGGGACGATACTCCGCCTTGCTGTCTACAGGGCAAAAATGAGGGGGGGAATGGTATTATTTCCTCAAGGTTGTTCGGTGGGATGGTTGACCGCAAATAGCATGTTCGGGGGGTGAGCGAACTGGTGCAGGAATGTGATATCACAAGGGAACTCACTCGTGCAGAGCGACTGCGGGGCTACTTGAGGGGAGGGAAAGGAGTTATTATACAAGGTTTTCCAAGGGCGGGCTTACGATATAAGAAATTTTACAAAGTCCAGCCTCAGATCGTCACATATCCGCACAGCAAATTTCATTGTAAGTGTGTGTTTGTGTTTCTGGACTGTAAAATTTTGCACACAAAAAAATTGATGCTGTAAAACTTTGCACATAACTGTATGATTTTGCACACAAAACAACAAAGCTTAGAGGGAACATTGGTCTTATATAGTACGGTACCCCAGCCTAGGGCTGGGCTCACCGCTGTGTACATAAAAATAACTAACCTTCACCTTGGGGATAAAAGTTTTATGTTTATTATATGTCACAATAATCAAAATTAAGATTAAAACTCTGTCTAGACTATTTAGAATTTATTAAATTTAATTATACTGTTAAATAGATTGGTCTTAATTTTTTTCAAAACCTTTCTATGGTAAGGGTGGTAACCCTACCCTTAACCCAAAGTTTTCAGTGATAAAATTTCTGAGCGCCATAGATTGAATGGGTAAATGAATGGTACAAAACTTTCTTTTGAAATGCATCCATCTCTAACTCTATAGTACTAAGAGTACCTGTAGGTGACAACAACCTGCCATAAGAATAAGCTATTTATTATTATTATTTACATATTTTTCGCAGCACATGCACTTACTTCTTTTGATACTTCATGGCCAGTATGTTCATGCATTGATTTGGTAATTTCTAGCCGAGATGGATTTCTCTTGGCAACAAGCTTTATCTTTGCCTGGCATCCCAATTTGAAAGAACTGAAAAATATAAAAATTCTCAACGAATTGCCAAAAGTGGTAAGGGCTAATGTAGAGCACGAATGCCACGGCGTCATTTGCTTCTTTATTATAGTTGCAGTGAATTAGGGTTTAGGTTAGGTTGAGAGGTCGATTTAGGGTTCAGGTTAGGCATAGCATTGTGATCGATTTAGGGATACATTAGTCGCGGCCATCGATAAAATAGTGGCATTCGTCCTCTACATTTACCGTGGTAATAATCATTGGCTTGGAGAAAGAATTATTACATGACAAGACCAACTAAATTTAAAGTTAACCTATTATTATTACTTTATTACTTACGCTTGTGATTTTCTTTGGCCTGTTGTCGTTGAAGACTTTGACTTG